CGGGTGTAAGTAGCGCCAGAGTTCTTTAGGCCGAAGGCCATCACTAAGTAACAGAAGATGCCTTCGAGAGTCATGAAGGCAGTTTTTTCAGCACCCCCCTCATGCATGTAGATTTGGTGATATCCTCGAAAAGCATCGAGGAAAGACATGATTTCGCATCCCGCTGTTTCATCTACCAGTTGATCGATGTTTGGCAGAGGGAAAGGATCCATAGGGCATGCTTTGTTCAGATCTGTGTAATCCACGCACATGCAGAAGGTGGGTGGCTTTTGTGCTAATACCACATTAGCCAACCATGAAGGATATTTCACTTCCCTGATGTGTTTGATGGAGAGGAGCATGTCGACCTCTTTCTTGACAAAGTTCCTTCTCTCAGCCGAGAGAGGCCTTCTTTTTTGTTGTACGGGTTTGGACGAAGGGTCCACCGCCAGGCGGTGAGTGATGACCCTTCGGTGGATCCCCGGCATATCCTCCGGCCCCCATGCAAAAACAATGGAGTAGGCGCGGAGGGCTTCAGTGATGCCGGTCTTCAGGTCTTCAGGGAGCTTGGCTCCAATCTTCAAGACTCTCTCCGGCTTGGCCAGATCGAGTACAAAGTCTTCGGTCTCTTCGGCAGGCTCAGCCCTCGGCCTGCCTTCTTTCTCTTCCAAGGCTGTGGTGATAGTATCTACGCGGAGTTCAGTTTTACTAACCTTCCTGGTGAGTTGAAGGTAGCAAGCCCGGGAGAGCTTCTGATTCCCCCTCGAGTAGCCGATGCCACTGGGTGTGGGGAACTTGAGGCAAAGATGCCTCATGGAGATGACAGCTTCCAAGTCCTCGAGGGCGGGTCGGCCGAGGATGATATTGTGTGCGCAGTCAAGGTTGACGACGACGAATTCCACTTCGAGCTTGGCCCTGTGGAACCCATCGCCGAATTCAACCATCAAAGAGATGATGCCCTCGGCGTCAATGCTATCCCCTGTGAATCCGGAGAGGGGTGTGTTGATCCGCCGAAGGGATCCCATATCAAGCTCAAGTTCTCGGAAAGTGCTGAGATACATAACGTTGACAGAGCTACCGGTATCAACATAAGTGCGGAGGATGACAGTGTCGTTGATTTCCGTTCGAATGACAAGAGCGTCCCTATGAGGCAAGGAACCCGGGGGCAGATCCGCATCTGTGAAGAAGATAGGGTCTGCCTTCGGCTTCTTAGTCGGGGGCATATGATTGACTTCCCCAACGTAAAGGGATTGAGCCCACTTCTTCCTTTGGCTCATGGAGTCACCTCCAGTGTTGCCTCAAGTGATCATGTGGATGTGGCACTTGTACTGGTGCTGTGGATCCTCCTCCTCACTGAGGTTCCCAATCTCACGCTTCTTCCCCTATGGATTTCCCAGGGGGATGGTGTTTGGGTTAACCCATTTGTTTGCCTTCGGCGGGGGCCCTTGGTGATGAGGGGGCCTTGAGGAGGGGCCCCCTGATAAATTGGGACAAATGCCCCGCCTGTACTAACCTTTCGATGGCTGCCTTCAGCTGATGGCAGTCATCAGTCCTGTGCCCTTGATGGCGATGAAAGCGACAATAAGGTTCGTTGGGATTGATGACATCTACCTCTAGGGGTGCGCGTGAGTCTCGTTCCACAAGGCCCCTCTCCTCCGCGTAGTCCAAGATGACGCTGATGGGATGCGTCAGAGGGGTGCGTGGGTGCTCTAGGAGGGTAGGCTGTGCCCACGCCATCGGATTGTTCTTGTAGCCGCCTCCGGGTCTGGTTTGGCCATTCCGGGGGCAGTCGTTGTACTGTGCCTCGCGGTTTGCCGGAGAGGGTGGTCCCCCGGGGCGGTTTCTGCCATCGCTTTTGTGTGAAGGTTCAGGGTTGCGACGATCTTTTTCGATCTCCTCGGTCTCGACATATCGGTCCCCCCACTGAAGAGCTTTGGTGTAATCCCGGGGGGATCGGTAATAAGGCTCCTGGAGAAATTACCGTTACGGAGGACAGTGTGGAATAGGGCCATCAGCGTTCTATCGTCGGCGCCATCAACTTCGATGGAGGCCTGCCTCCAGCGTTCTAGGAAACTCCGAAGGGTTTCCTCCTTCTGTTGCCTTACGTTAAGAAGGTGGGAGAAATGCTTCTTCGACCGGTGTCTCCCGGCGAATTGTGTTAAGAAACGATGGGCAAGTTCTTGCCACGAATCAATGCTGCCTTCGAGCAACCGGTTGACCCATTCATACGATGGGCCTTCCAAGGTGGAAAGGAACCAATGGCACAAATATTCATCCGATGCCCCCATCATCATCATACTATTTTGGTACCTGCTGTAATGTTCTTGGGAATTTGTTTTCCCCTCATATGGTTTGATGGGTTGTCCCTGATACTTATCGGGGATCTGAGCCGCCAACACCCTTGGCGTGAAGGGCGTCTTTGTGCGGAGCTGGATGATGGGTTCACCTGAGCCTTCAGCGAACTTTCACTTCATTTCCTCCATTTGTGCTAGTATAGCGGCATACTTTGGATCTGCCTCCAAAGTCGAAGCGGGGGGCGTTTGGTGTGCCTCCTTCTTCTCCAGCTGACGTCGGAGGGGCTCAATGATCTCATCTTTGTGATCCCCCGGGGCAGCCCCTTGGGATTTCGCCCTGAATGATTGAGCGTGGTTGATCTGGTGTCTGGCGTCATCTGCGTGGAGGAGGCCTTTGCCTTTGTCCCGAGGGGGAGGTCTCTCCTCGGCACCCGAGACAGAGCCCCCACTTTCTTGTGGCCTGCTGATCGCCTTCCCTCCGAGGCAGTCTTAGACCCCTCGGCGCTCCGGAGCTCCCCCCAGCCTCTCGAGGGCGGAGGTTCGGGGCTTCTCCTTTAAACGCCGCTTGTCTCGCGATTGGACCTCTTAGGAGGCGGTGTCCTGTGCCGCAACCCCTTCGGCATTACCGATCTGTATGATGGGATTGTTGAATGGAGGAGGTGGCGGGAAATGGATGGCGTTTCCCCCGAAATAAGGCTGGAGGGGTGCCAGTGAAATGAAGGCACCAGAGTTCACTGCCATGTTTTGGACGAAGGCCGCAAAAGCGGCCTGAAGGTTGATGGCCGGAACCAAAGGTGGAACTTGGTTCTCACTTCGGTCCTTCCTTCGATTATCAAGACCGATTCGGGCATCGGGGGCAGCCTTTTGGAGCTGCTGACGGAGGTCAGCGGTGGCTTGCTCCATTTCGACAATTGTGCCAACCTCGGGAATCCGGTTGGAGGCCTCAGCCCCATTGGCTTCGCCGAGGGCTACGTGTTTTTCCTCAAGGGTTTTGGATTGACCACGAGTTCTTCCCATTTTGGTAGGTGTTTTGTGTTTGGTGAAGGGGAGAGTTTTTTACTTGATTGTTCGGACCTCTCAATGAAAGCACCAAATGATGGATAGTGTACCCGGGAGGTAGCTTATCCGAGGGGTTATTGCGGAGAATAACTAGAGAGAAGTCAGAGCAAACAAGTAAGAGAGAGAGTCAAATGTATTAAATGAACCCAGGGTGCTTTATAAGGAGAGTAAGGGGTGCTATTTATAGCAGCCATAAATGCGATGAGAGTACACGTGTCAATAATCTGACGGCCGAGGGGTCACCTCAATCGGGGTGGCACCGGCACTCGCATGTGCACCGCATTGAATGTGGTGGTTGCTTGTCTCCAAAGGGAATCTTCGATGATTGAGCTGTTAGCCGAAGGTTCTCCCTGTGGCCGAGGGCTATGTGTAGCTGAAGGCTGCCCTTATGCCGAGGGCGTGTATGAGCCGAAGGCTCTCGATTTTCGCCGTCTTCTCCCAACAACTTTGTATGCCTAAAATCAGCTGTTTCCTGAAGTTTGGAGCCTTCGGCCATGGTGCCGAAGGCCTCCCCAGGCGCACCACGGGTTCCTTTGAGCTTGGTCCGCGGTGCTTTGGGCCTTATGCGCTTCTTGGGCCTATTGGGCCTGTGATGGAGTAGCAGGAGTCTGTGGGCCGGGGTTCCCTGGGCCATATACTCCATCAATTACAACACTATGCAATGCAAAAACCATAATAAGGCACAACTTCAGTCATTAATAAACATATACATGTACACAATCGTTCATACCAACCATTATGCTACTCAAATATAGTGTCATAACTCAACTAATAAAAAAAGAGGAACAATGACACATAGAGAAAAACAACCGGAAAATAGCATACAATCCAACTAACCTCGTCGTAACCTACAACCCTACCAACTTACCTGTATGATTTGCGTTCGAAACGAAGAAACACCAAGAACTTCGGGTTGCACTTGCGATTCGCGAACACCTCGCAGCCATACTTCAGCGTTTGGGAAAAAGAAGAAAGATAATGAAGACTGGTTTTCAAATTAGGGAAAACAATTGTTAGGTTATGGCTGACGAGGACAAAGGCTTTAATTTTTTTTAAAAAATAATAATTTAGTTTTCCCATTTATGCCACGTAACAAGCCATGTCACTCGGTAACTGGCTAACCGGCAAACGACAGGCTAAAAAGTTTATTTGACCGTTATTTGAAACAATGTGAACCCAATCGACTGAATTTTTTCTACATGGACTCAATTGACTTTTCACCCACAATAGGTGGACCTATTGGAGAAAGCATGAAGTTTCTGGTGGTCGGCATCGTGCTGTCGGACCGGAAGATCAAATTTCAGGAATTCATTGATGGCCTACGTGTGAAAGAAGAAGAAATGATGTTGATCCGCCCCCCTTCGGAACCGCCGCCATGGAGGAATTGTGCGACTAGGGTTTGGATGACTTCTATTTCTGCTAAGACGATTGTGTTTTGTTTTTTATTTTATTTTGATTGTGTTTTGTTGTTTATTTATTTTATGATGTTTTGCACTTGGATTGGGGGATGAGAGGCATGCGGTAATTGTTGTTTTGATTATGCCCAAGTTAGGACTAGTGAGTTATATTGCTTTGTCAAGGATGGACAGTTACATACGATTCTAAGGATGGACAGTTACATACGATTCTTTTGTTATTTCAAACCATATCTGATTGTTTTTTTTTAATGTAAGCCCCCTTCCATAAAAAAATGGGCATTTCTAGAGATGCTCTAAGCTCCATTGCTCCGTACTTGTTGGTATCATCCATCGTATGTGTAAAGTGTAATTGTGTATAGGGGGAGATACCGACCGACACTGGAGTACAACCAGAGAGGAGAGGAGTCTCGAGAAGCAAACGCAACAACAAATGAGGCCTAAGATAGTGCTCTTCGGGGACTCCATCACTCAGCAATCGTTCACATCAGGTGGATGGGGTTCTTCCCTCGCTCACCAATATTCTCGAAAGGTCTTTTCTCTTCCCATTTCCCTTCTTTCATCATCCTGATGAATTCATTTTCGACATAAACAATGTTCTTTAGTGTCTACCCAAGTCCAATATAGGTCTACCCAAAAACAATACCAATAGAAAAAGTATAATCCGATGAAGGTTTAAAAACGACTATCATCATAGCATGTGTTATTTGTTCGTCATATTTGTGTTTATTCTTGAATCTATAGGCTGATATCCTGAATCGCGGATATAGTGGATATAACACTAGATGGGCTTTGTTCTTGCTGCATCACCTCTTCCCTCTGGTAATTATTGTTATTATACTCATCACCCTCTCCCACTTATAATTTTTTCGATTTTTTTTTTCTTTCTTAAATGTTTGATAGATTTGTGAAACCTCTGTACTGTACATTTGATAAATTAGGTTGCTGAAGACTTTCTCAGCACTTTGATCATCTCAAATTTGGCTTCTTTTCATTTCCTTGTCACTTTTCTTCTTTATATGTATACCTACATTATATACATAAAACATTTTTCTCACCAGGCCTGCCTCAAAAAGTACCGTCAGCCCAGCTTCATATTTGGGCAAATGAACTCACTTCAAAGAGAACCTTCAACCATTACATAAGTCTAAGGGTCCGTTTGGTTTAAGAGATGTCAGATTACCATGGGAATGTCAGATTATTAGATTGATGGGAATGTGTTCAATCTTTATCTCATTTGTGTTTGGTTAAGATTAAGGGAATGTGACATTAATTTGTTTGGTTGAATGTTATCTTATATTGCAAACTTGATAAATTACTTCAATGTCCTTCAAATATTTTCTCTTATAACACAATAAATTTATTACAACCTACATTCGAAGTAATTTATATTTGGATGTATTGTCAACATATTTAAAATTAATGTAACTATAAAAATACTTCCGCCATTATGTTGAAAGATTGACATTTTCCTTATTTAGGTGTCCCATTTAAAGGTTTTCATTCCATTTTAGGAAATAATGTAGTCTCTTTAATTACACATTTAGTCAATTTTTTTTGCTACTCATTATATGTCATGTCTCACAATTTCTATTTCCTCTCTTTTTTTACTCAAATTACTTTATTTAATCATTTTCCTAAAAAATCATGTCATTTACTCATGGGAACCTTTCAACGGGACGAAAGAAGTAGATTTTAAACTCAACCCTATAGTGGGATTTTGAAAAAAACGATGCAACATTAGATAACGTAAAACAATTAAATCATACTTTAAAATACGAGTAATAAATAATTTAAATCATACTTGTTTAAAATATGAGTAATTAATAAATAATTTAAATCATTCAACCAATAAAATAAGAAAAACAATTTAAATCATACTTGTTTAAAATACGAGTAATAAATAATTGTTTTGCAATTTAATACGTAAAATCAAAACTTAGGTGTTTAATAAAGTTGGCTAATAAGAAGAATAAGCTAAAATTAGAGATTACAAAGTGGAGTCTTAATTTTTCAAAACTCGACTTAATTGAAGCCCAAAAGTAGTTAATACGTAGTTTACTACAATACCTATTTAAATTTATTGTACATTTCTTGGTTATTATACCTCCTCTTGATTAAATGTGGGGGGTATTTTTTGGAAGAAGTGTTGTGAACAACCAGGCATCCAACATAACCTAAGAGCTCCATGGGTTTAAGATTACTGGGCATGAGATTACATTCTTCACTTTTGGGAATGTAACATTCCCAATTTTTTTTTAAAACCCGCGAACCAAACGCGGGTATCTGAGATTCCGGACATCAGATTCCGACATGCATACAAGATTACCTCCAACCAAACGTACCCTAAGATGTAAAAAAGTGAGTTTGTAAGGTCTAACTTTGAATTAATTTTAAATCTAACAATTCAAACTAATAATTAGTACTAATGAGTAAAAATAATTCGATCACTAAATTCATTTTGGCCAAAAATGAAGTTGACAAGTTAACTTGACGAGAATCCTTATCAGAGCACTCATACACACACACTTCAAATGAAAATGGGTCTTCCCATGAAAAATAAGAATAAATCCAAGCTTTTATCTCAAAAAACAAATGGGTCAATCATTACTCATTAAGAAAACACGGTTAAATAATTGTAAACAAATAAATATCAAACGTGAAATGGTTAGTATTTAAAGTGCATTGTTTTAGAATATGAGTGCATTTTGTGTTTATACAAATGACCTGATATTCCTGCACATTTTTGTACAACTATTGATGCAAAGATGAAAAAGATGCACATTTGAATGAAAAGATGCACTTTTATTTTCATCATTTGCAATGGAGCCAAAGATTCATTATTTTTTGGCTTGAGAATATGATGGAATAAAGCAAAATGGCTCACCTAACTGTCTGCGCTTCTTTGTTATGAAGCAGCGGTCAGTCCATGCAATTTTGGTCGCAATTTTCACTATGGGTCATCGGAAAACAGTCTCTCTGTGCTTTAGTACAGGGGTAAGACTGCGTACATCCGACCCCCCTTACCCCACCGTAGGTGGGAGCCTTTGTGGCACTGGGGTAAATGATGATTGATTGATGATTGATATTGATGCAAAGATGCACATTTGAATGAAAAGATGCACTTTTTGAATGCAAACATGCGCTTTTTTTCTAGTGTGTTAAGTAATTAAAAGTTTTACATATTTAACACAATGCCACCACTTCTTGGCTTAAAAGTTGCTCCTGTTTATTGACTTTATCAAATCAAAGACCAAAATTAGCTCTTATTTTTCACCTATAAGTAACTTTTTGTTTGAACCAAACTCTATATAATATATATAGATATGCAAACACACACACATGTATATTGATATATTTACACATTCATACATACATATATATGGGGAGGGTTCTAGTGAGAACCCCCTTTAAAATGAGAACCCATTTATATATGAGAACTTCTAATCTACATCATTGATTTATGAAATCAAGGGTTTGCATTAACAAGGTAGCAATTTTGTAATAATTCTACTATAATTACAAACAAGACCCCATTTAAATTTTCATTAATTACATAAAGTACCCCATGTGCATCCTACCAATGATTGGATTAAATAAAAGGTTGGGATTAAAAGTTCTTATTATAACAAGTTCTCATTCTAAGATGAATTCTCATTAGAACCTTCCCCCATATATATATATGTATGTATGTATACTCCCTCCGTATTTGAAAGTTTGCTACACTTCCCTTTTTGGGATGTATTTAAAAGTTTGCTACACTTTTTCCTTTTGGTAAATTTTACCTTTAAAAATACTCAATTATCCTTACTTTTTCTATTTTTATCTCCTCTTTCATACTCTTACACCCTCTATTCTACTTTTTCTACACTATTTATTGCCCCTACTACTTTCTTCCTTAATAATGTGTCAAAGCCTATTGTAGCCATCTTTAAAATACGAAGGAGGGAGTATATATATAGCGCTATTATTTGAATAGCACTACATATATTATATATTGTGTTATTCAAATAAAAGAGACTCCATTTTAGCCATAAGATAATTTAATGGGCTAGACTTTCTCTCTCTCTCATGAACTATTAATTTTAACCATTTGATCTTCTCACAAATTCATTTTTACGAATGATAGACACCATTTTCTTACTTTTTTGCTTTTAGTCTTACTCTAAACGGTTAAGATAAATTCATCACAAAAGGCATATGTCTTCGTTAAAATTTAATTTTCTAATATGATCAAATGGTTAAAGTTAATAATTTACAAAAGTGAGGAAATAATCTAGACCATTAAATTTTAGTTTGGCAAAGTAGAGTGCGTTAGATGAGAATTCTATCAAGATGGGTCTGATATGTTCTGTACATATATACTTTGGTTTAAAAAAATATTTTCCTTGAAAAATGAGAACGCTTTTCAATGATTCATATTTATGCAATGGATGGTTAGATGATATGGTGATTGACGTGCATTTAGCTATTCAATGAGCTACAATGTCATGTGATATAGTCCACCTTCATTCCCTGGACCTCATCTGTTTGGTCCATTGGAAAATCAATGTACCATACAAATCCTCATTATTCATATTAATTGGTCTTCTCAATTGAACCAACTCGTCCCTATGTCATGTTTTCTTCATTTGCAATGGATGGAGCCAAAGACTCACTAGTTTTTGGCTCGAGAATATGATGGAATAAAGCAAAATGGCTCTTTTGCGCTTCTTTGTTATGAAGCAACAATCAATCTATGTAATTTTCAACGCGGTCTTCTCTATGGGTCATCCGGAAACAGTAGGTCTGTGCTTTAGTACAGGGGTAAGACTGCGTACATCTGACCCCCCTTACCCCACTCTAGTGTGGGAGCCTTTGCGGCACTGGGGTGATGATGATGATGTATATATAACTATTTTGTATACATATGTATGTATATATATAGAGAGAGAGGAGAGAGGTTGAGTTTCTCACCTTCAAAAATTAACTTACGGTCAATATTAATTCATCATTAACGATAGAGTTCACTTTGGCGATATTCATTTTTTACATGATCTAACCGTTACAATTAGTATTTGATGCCAACTAGTGAAAAAATCTGTTTGTTTTTGACAAAATAGAAGTGCATCAGAATTTCCGTCCAGCAAGCTTGACTTGAATGTTCTTACACACACACATATATATATACATCGGGTTTGTTTCTTTAATGCTAAGTACATTGTGATGCTTGAAATAATAGCAATAAAAAGTTCATGATTAATATTTGAGAATATCTATTTTACAATTCTTTTTTTAGCATTGTCTGGCCTCACCCTTTGCTGGTAGCCTAAAGCTCTTCGGAACAATTTGGGGCTAATCTGGCAGCATGCTTTCGGCTACTGTGCTACTTTGATGTGCTATGAAATGTATTTGTATTTGTATTTGTATTATCTTGGGATCTAAGGGGTTGTTAGGCTTGTAGGAGGAATCTATAAGCCATCCTGCTGTCATCACTATTTTCTTTGGGGCAAATGACTCGGCACTTTTAGGAAGGACAAGCGAAAAGCAGCACGTGCCTCTTAAGGAATACAAAGAAAATCTAAAAACAATGGTTCAACATCTTAAGGTTATAACCCCTGTACTTTTAATGAAGTTATTTTAATATATATGTACCTTCCTGCTTTTTTATGCGCTTTGTCGTTTTTACTCACTCTTCTTAGCAAACACTTGTAGAAGTGCTCACCTACCATGGTTGTTGTGCTTATAACTCCGCCACCAATTGATGAGGTGGGCCGCAAAGAATATGCACGGTACGGACTACAGACTCTTTTAATCATTGCTTTTAAAGTCCTCACCTGGCACTAGCTATCCATTATGTGGGCTTTTTGGATGTCTTTAAAGAAGGGTTTAGTATATATCATGACATATACTCATGAGTCATATATTAATATATAAACTTCAATAAAACGTCAAAAAGCCCTCCAAAGTCTTCACCTCTAAACTTCTGTATCCAAATATCTAAATACCTTGGTTTTTCCCATTTGACCTGGCCAATTTCACTTGGATAATATCTATCTAACCTTGATTAATCTCCTATTAGGCGTTAGACTCTAGTCTGCTGCTTGGTGGACGCTTAACTCTTTTTATAAGAGTGAAATTGTTAGTCAATGTGCTAAGCTGTCAATAACTGTTTCAGCCTTAATGGAAAAAACTATTAACCTTGTTTCAGCCATGTTATTTACCTGGAAATTTAGCCAACCCCCTTAGCTCTGCTCTAAGTTTTATGCACCTTTTCAGCATTAAAAATAAGGATAATGAGCACATTACATTCATCATTAATTATGTTCTCGTGAATAAAATCATATGAAATTTTGCAAAGCAGGTATGTGTATGGCGACAAAGCAATGAAATTGCCAGAAAGGACGAATGTAGTGACAGGAGAGTATGCAAAGCAGTGTCTCGAATTAGCCATGGAGTTGGGTCTCCCTTCAATAGATTTATGGTCCAAAATGCAGGAAACCATGGGTTGGCAGAAGATATTCTTAAGGTCAGTGTTTCTATGTTCTTCAAACTTCTTTAAGCAATAATAGATGCAAATTAACCCAAAATGACCTGAACTTATAGAAAATCATGTTTTTGACTTTTCAATGTCGAAATCCTTATCCATTTTGTATTGTAAAAATTAAAAAATTGGACCAGACTTGGACTGGCTGACTAAGGTAAGCCCCCACAAATCCCTATGGGGTGAAAAATTCATGTTCTTTCCCTCTTTGGGTTTGGCGACGATCGCTGAGGATCGGTAGTGTAACCTCACAACCATCATATTGATTCTAATGAAATTTTGGGCTTCCTAAATGGGTATAAGGAATAATGTATTACTAATTTCAGCTAAACTCTCATGGCTGTCTATGGAGAAACAAAATATGTCTTGTTTTGATCTTGAGTTGAATCTTTGTTCGTCTCACTGATTTCCCTCTCAAATTGAGTTTTTTATACCGCTAGCCTGCTAGGAGACACTTCGTCCATGAAATATACAATCACATACCAATATTCAAGATTTCGTATTGCATATTTGAGGCGGTTTTTTTAGCATTGTCTATTGTGTAAGCCTCATTATGCAATGAGGCGTCAGCCTCAGGCAGGTTTTACACAAAATTAAAGAAAAAGCTACAGATAATATAATAAGAATTAAAATAAACATTTATTAAAAGTCAACAAATGTTATTATCAAAGCCAACTAAATTTCAAAGTAATTAAATGTCAATGAATGTCATAAACCCATCCAAATGGCAGGTTCAAAAATCAGAGAAAGCAAATATTTTTTGATACCTGGTACAAACCAAGCAAAAGCAGTAAACAAGCAAAAGCAGTAAACAATAAACACAGATCTGGCCACAAAGTATTGAAAGTAATGTTTATTGATGGGGAAGGTATACGTAGGTAACAAGGCAACAACGGGACTGTTCGAGAAGCCCACTCTCCATTCTCCAAGGCAACACTCAATCAAATAACAGCCTGCCTACAACCGTTGCTAATCTATCTATTTATAGCCAATATCCACAAAGGGATATGTCAGCTGTTACTAATATCCCCTTCCCTTCTAAATATACTACTACAAGTACCTTTACTATTTTTATTATTATTTCTTATTAATAGCCTACTAAGCCAGATTCCTATCAATACTCCCCCCTGAACAACCACCTTGTCCTCAAGGTGGGTGATAAGAATCAGCCATGATCTTCCACTTCCACTTCATTCTTTCACCTCTCCCTCCCTAGGTAGTTTACTCGCTACTAGGTAGCAACTCGGTCAAGGGCCGAGTAGCGAGTAGGACGGATTACTCGGGATTACTCGGTGATTACTCAGCCTAGTATTAATTAAATATAATATATTTAAATATAGTAGTCTTAAAATAGAGCAATAAAATTGTCTTTAAATTGTCTTAAAATGCATAAAAGTGAATAAAAGGATAGAAATCTATTATCCTAATGATGGAGTAGTAAGTGTCATAAAGCAAAAGTGATAAAACATTCAATCATCTGATAAGTTGGTCTGATATTAATCTTCATTGGGTTCAAGGTCGTGATTTTCATCTTCATCCTCCATGTTCCCAAATAGATCTTCTCCAAATAGATCTTCAGTAGTCAGATTCCCCACTTGTTCTTCCTCTTCCACTTCCGGGTCATCTAAATCAATATCAAGTAGTCTATACGCAGACTGTGATGCATTCACATTCCCCCTTCTGTTTTGACTCCTTGTGTTTGTCCGTGCCTCAGTTGCTTGTTGTGCTGCTCGTACTTTTTCCCAAGTCAGATTATCACCTTGATTGACAAGGTCTTGAAGTGCTTCATCATTTGGAACAACCCAATCATCATTTTCATCAACTTCCCTTAAGAAAATAGGATCATAACTCTTACTGCCAACATTGTGCTGTCTCTCAAAGAATCGTTGCTGCAGCTTTTTGTTGTACTGGATGTAGACAAGATAATTTAATTTTGATTGCAGCAAACGGTTTCTCTTCTTTGAATGTATCTAAAATGTTACACATGAAAAAAATACATTAAGCATAATACCTTACTGGCAGGTACTCTTTTAAAATGAATAAGAATTGAAAAAAATGCAATGAAATACATGTTGGCAAAGTAACATGATCAAGTATAATATGCCCTGAATGAAATAAGTTAAGTATATTCAATACTACTTTATACTAAATGACTCACATGATCAAAGGCACTCCAATTACGCTCACAGGTGAGGCGCTACAGGTTTGACTCAAAACCTTGAGTGCAAACATTTGAAGATTAGGCACATCAGACCCATATGAAAGCCACCATTCATCTACAAATTATTGAATTAATTAAATTATAACTAATTTACACAATATTATAAGTAAATAAAATTGAAAGATGATTAATTAATTACTATAGTGTAATAGTGGAGATGGAAACTTACTGGGTGGGACTTTTTCCCTAGCTCTCACAGCCATAGTTGATCCTAGAGACCCACTTGCAGATCTGTAAAGTACCAACTCACTGCTAATACTGTCAAGTGCATCTTCATCTACGAGCTTTTGTATTGCTTCAAGGAGCCCGTCTTTTATCTCTTTGTTTGACTCCATCTTCGTCACACCATGCTTATAAAATATGCTTGGATTTAGGTAATAACCGACTGCAGGATAAGCAGGTTATAAACTCACTGCCTCTCACCCCAACTAGATAAGAATTATAGCATAATATAAGTAGGATAAGCAGGACATTACATCAAAGAGACTGTGTACTAAATGAGTATACAGTCTTTTGAATTTTGATTGTCTAAGGTTTTAACTTTTAAATTAAAGAAAAAGAGCATCCTGAGTCCTGACTAACTTGTAATGAGCATTTATCAGAAATCAGAATGCTGGCCATACCAATAGGGCAGAAGGGGTAGTAATTCTTAAACAGCAATACATTTGAAAAGATGACATTCACCTTAAACTGTTTTCCTAGCTTCCATAATTCCATCCAAAAGTAATCAATTATAAATCATAATAAACAATTTATTAAACAATGAAACAACAAAGAGAAGATTACAGTAAGAAAACAATGAAAAACAGTTTGTACCTGCGTGCAAAGCGTGATGGAATTTATTATTCCATCTAATATCAATTGTCTGCCATACTTTTGCATAGGTGAATTGGTCATTCCCAAGATTCTTTTCAATTTGGTCTTTTGATCTATCCATAGATTCATAAATATAACCCATACTAGGTTTCTCTTCTGTATCCACCAATCTTATCACATCAACAAGTGGAGCCAAGACTTGACAAGTAAAATAAACATTATCCCAAAAGCCCTGCCTTGCCACTATTCTTGCATTTTTTTTTTTCCATCAGCCTTCTTTGCAAACTCACTGTTGATCCATTTTTCAGAAACAAATAAAACTTGCAAATGACACCTATTCTTCCAAATACTCTTAAGAGTGTAAAACGCAGTAGCAAACCTGGTTACACATGATCTATGCAACTCTCTCCCGCTTGTTAACTTTCGCATTAGGCTCAATATCCTCCCATGGTTTTATATATAAACAACCATTGCTTTACCTTCACGTAAAGCACTTTTTATGGCCGGTTTTTTGTGCATAAACCTCGACGAGGCTTGGGCAACTTATCACCAAGATCTTGCAACATTAAGTTCACACAATGTGCAGCACAAGGGGTCCAAAGCATCTTAGGATGTTGTTCCTCTAAAATCCTCCCCGCTGCCTTGTAGTTAGATCCATTATCGGTGATGAACTATTATTTAACATGAGAAAAAACTGAAATTAGTATTAATTAATATCTGACTATTAGTTAATGTATAGACAATAGATTTAGAATTAAAAATAGATCACCTGAACTATATTCTCCTCTCCCACATGTTCAATAATCTCATTAATCAACCCCACAATGAGATTTGCATCTTTTACATGCTCAGATGCGTTAACCGACTTCAAAAAAACTGTTCCTTTTGGACAGTTTACCAAAAAGTTGATCAAAGACCTTCCTTTACCATCTGTCTAAAAATCAGACATAATAGAGCATCCATATGTCTTCCAGTATGCTTTGAATGATTCAACAAATTCTTTTGTTTTGACTAGCTGCTTGTTCAACAGAGTATGGCGATATTGATGATAAGTGGGTGCTGGCATACCTGGAAAAGAAATGAAAAGAAATTAAGAATAAAATTTCAGTTTTTTGGACCAAAAATTAAGGCTATTATGGAACTATTTACCTCTTCCGTAATCTCCAACGACATGAATAAAGGCCTGAAGGCTTGGTGTTCTAACGGCATTAAAAGCTAACCCGACCTCATATCCCCACTCTGCAAATTTATCCCAAGCAATCTCCTTTAATTTCAGCTTAGTTGGATTAGTTTTATCCAACGTTGATTGTTTCATCTTCTCATGGTCGGGCTTTAATAAGGTGTCCAGTGATCCTCTAACATTAGATTGTTTAATTCTTGTCTTAGAAGCAATTGTGCCACTGCCTTGCCCAGTTGTAAAGGTTGAAACTGTGTGTCCACCTTCAGTTCCGCCATCACCATCATCACCAAGCTCGAATTCATCATCCTCATCCAAGAAAGCATTTTCCCTCTCAATGATACTGTCAACTCTAGCTTTCTTAGCCTTGACAGCTTTTTTTTCAAGCAATGATTTTGCAGCTATCTTCATCACTTCATTGGTTACCTTGTTACAAGAAGAAACATTTCCCTTAACCTGGGCAAGGTGTTCTTTAAGACGGTAAATCCCTCCAGACATTTTCTTATCACAAAAAAAAAACACCACACTAAAGATTTATTATTGGGATCTCTATTCTCTCCCCATGTCCATCCTATATCGTCTGATTTTCTCTTAAGTGTAGTAGCAACAGATTCAGCACCATTAGAGGCCTGACCAGACAGAGTAGAGTTCATGACTGTAAATTAAAAAAAAATTGTGAGTGTATTTATCATGAAAGATGTGAAAGTATATTAGAATATACTTTAGAAGAGTGCTCTTCATGTCAGGCCGGCCTGACGGGATGCTCCGTCC